TACAGTATTTACTTTTAATATTACCGATATGTCATCGAAAAGAAAACGTGTTGTATTATCATTAAAAGACAAATTAAAGTATTTGTTTCGATTATCCGGATTTTTCCTTATCCGGACTACCTTCATCCCCAATTAGTCCGGATAATCGAGGTTCTACTGTAGTATCTTATCCACATGTGCATTGAAATCTAATTTGAATATCAACATCATCATCAATAATTCATGTTGTGACATCTAATGATGCGAGGCGAATCTCGGCATCACTATTGAATCAGTAGTCCTGTCAATGATTGGTGTGGCCATTGACTTTCTTTAACATAGAAAGTATAGGAAGTTGAACATCAGTTGCTAGCTCTGCCAAGTAGCATATTTGGAAACCAAGTCATTGTATGGCAACTGGAGCAAAAATGGTGTTCAAAATTTTTTTCGTAAACCAAATTGTTCATAAACAGGGGCATTCATAACTCAAGGTTTAACTGTTCTGTTATTTATTTATTCTAACTTTATTTCACCATAAGAAAATAAATACAAATGTCTTATTATTTTCTAAATAAAATACAACCTGGATTAAAACTATTAGTAAAAACAAAATCAAGAATTTACTATCAATAATGTTGATTCTCACTTTTTTGTACTGTGCCTTTGGATGTAGACCATTTTTAACTGCAACTAACCATTCTTGTTCTCTGGGTGTATCATTAAATATAAATACTTCTTTACTTAAATCTAATTCCTGAAAAGCAACGGCATAAAAATCAGGAGGCTCATCATCACTACTTAACCAATCTGTTGTTGAAATTGTTGGTGCTTGACCATTAACATTCCATGTACCTATAAAAATTCTGATAAAAATAATACACTTTAAAACTATGTAAAAAAATAAATATTTTTTATTTAACTCTTACATCTTTAATATTTTTATAAATAAATTTCCTTATAAATAATTTAATAAAAAAAGCTTTCACTTCAATGATAATTAACTTTAAATACCAGTATTTAACATATATTGATTAATGAATTAATATATGTAATACAAAGATAACACAAAATTATAAACCTATTATTTGGCAAAATATTGCATTTGTTTACTTTTTCTTCATTTATTTTACTCATAAATTTCAATAGCATTATTTATTAAAGTACATTTTTTTTTCATTTTATCCAACTAAAGTTTATTTTATCCATTGATTTATTAATATAATTTGTCACAGTAATAAAAATATTTACTATTTTTGTAACCAGCAAAAAAAGGTTTGTAGGCAAATAAACAAATTTGTTATGTCTTTCCAATCCAGCATTCACTTGAGGTCAAGAACCACTCAAAAGATAATTTTAATTCACAAATCTTTATTTATATGCATTTCTAACTGAAGTTTGTACTAATCCCTCCTCAGTGTTGGTATACTTTGCAACGGTTTTAATTTTTCTTAGTGATCTTACATCAATCACAGTTACAATCCTGTGTCTGTAACTGTGGATTGTAACTGTGATTAATGTAAGGTTACTAAGAAAAATCAAAACAGTCGCAGAGTACACCTATACTGAAGAGAGATCAGTATAAACTCCAATCTGAAATGCACCTAAATAAAGCTCTTTGAATCAAAATTGTCTTCTGAGTGGTTCTTGACCTCTGGTGAATGTCAGATTGGAAGGACATAACAAACTTGTTTATTTGTCTACAAACCCCTTTTTGGTGGTTACAAACAATAAAAGATTGTATCCAGCAAATATTGATGATATTAGTTTTGTATTAAAAATATTTCCAACATTTCAGGTCTAAATAATTACTCCATAAAATTATTTGTTTTATAAAACAAATTAAAAATTTTAATCTAAAATTCTTTCAATTATTTTTTCATCTAATTCTGTAATTTTTTTTTTTTTTGGCATATCTGGAAAAATTTTGTTTTTGTTTTTTTTTTTTATCTGTATAGCAATATTAAAAAATTTATGAATGTCATAATGATATTAGTTTGAATAAGAGAATAAAATGTTCTTATATTTAAAAAAAATTTAATGGTATAGCTTTTTGACAGCATATGTTTATACTACTAGCAAATGTAAATAAAAAATAACTGATATATACTGAGAATTCAAACATGCTTGTAACTTTACAGCCTTTATAAAGCTTCAAAATTTAACATTTTTAACAGTTCCCAATCATAAAAAACTAAGCATTTTACACACAAAGGCATTTCATTACAATGCTTAAGGTCATACTATCAAATTTTAGTGTTCTGGTAAAGTGTATATTAAAAATTTTACTCAAATTATGTTATGAGTATAAAGTTCTAAAACTTGATGTTTTTTGTAACTATGCAATATAACCACCATGGGCAAATGCGGCTCTTTTTGAGTTACATGTGGCTCTTGCTGAAAGTGTTAATTTCTGCTTTTTATTATTATTTTTACAATTTTATTTCCACAATTTTGTGAAAATACATTTATTAAAAAATTCAATATTTGTTTTATATTATATTTATATTATATAATAAAATCACAGTACAGAACTGCAGTACAGAATAAAAACGTACAGAACTGTGGCTCCCATGCATTTTGTAAAATCTACATTTCGGCTCCCACTGAACTCTTGCTTGCCCACCCCTGCAATATAATTTTTCCCTGTAAGTTAAAAATTATTATTATTATATTATATTATCTCAAAGCCTATCATGCATTAAATGATTATATTGCCTTCTAGAAATCAAATCATCATCCATTTTTCATCAATAATTTTTCCCATAAAAATGTCAATCATCAGCTTTTATTCAATAGTAATGCCACCATTTAAGCAAAATATGTAATTTGATCATAAAAAAAAAGTGGAATAAAACAAAGAACTGATTAATATTATAATCATCAGACAACTGAAAAAAGGTCTAAGATAGCAGAAAATTATGAATGATTTTTATCATTGGACTCTCAACTAAAAAAAATAAACAGTTGTAACTCATAGCCAAAAAGAAAGACCTACTGAAATTGTAGAGGTATGACTACATCTAAGACATCCAAAAATACTGAATTAAATGTAGCTTTGTACAAATGTTTTAATGCAAAAAAATACTCTGAAGTCGTAACAATTACTGGCCTATCATTAAAAAAAAAAAAAAAAAACAGAACAGTTTTATACCAAAATGAACATTGCTGATAAATGTTCTTTCTCTATTAGCTGGCTTCAAATATTCAAATGACATGAATTCAATAATTGAATATCTGAAGAAAGATGATTCTCCAAGCTGCATCCAATGGCACAACTTTCAAAAAATGAAATTGACAAATGGTTACATGTAGATGGAAGTGAACTGTTGTGTAAAAGTTTTGACCAATGCTGAAATCATTGAAAGCATTATGAATTCACAAATATTTAAAGAAACAAAAAATGAAGTGAATGAAGCCACAAAAATAATCCTGGCACAAGGCAACCAAACATATCACAAAATTTGTAAAAAGAAACAGTGATGAATCTCTACAACATGCTATAAATAAGTATGCAAACAAAGTGCAGAGCCACAAACAATTAGATATTACAGACATGTATGAAAGGATTCAAAAACAAGCTTTGTAAGGACACTGTCACGTGGAGCAAAAGAGATCATGACAATTCAACAAATGAAGTAGTTCTGGCAACATTGTCTGAAGAATAGCTAAGACCTCAAATTCCTATAAAGTGTAATTTGGTACCTATATCTATCTACAACATATGTACCAAACATTGCATATACAACAAATATTGCTTTGTAGAATACAAATAGTATATTCAATAATATGCATGAATGAAGTACAGTAGAGCATCGATTATCTGACTCAATTGGAGACTCGGGTTGGTCGAATAACCGAAAAGAATGAAAAAAAATACATTATTAGTATAGTATATTAGTATATCCCATGTAATTAGTATATTAGTATATCACTATTAACGAACTTCGCGTTGAATTTTCATCGATGTTAAGCCTAACAAATTTTTTTTAAAAATAGTAATCGTCGCTATTGTATTGTTAAAAATTATTTTAAAATTATTTTTATATTATTTTATTGCTCACAAAACAAACAACCACTCATAATTAGAAAATTAAGTCTCGTTTAAATACTGGCCTCCCTTTCATAGTCATGCCATGTTGCCAGATAAAACACGCAAAAATTTAAAAAAAATAATATTAAAGTAGCCAAGACATAACCAAATATTGTAGCACCACATCACTAGCGGACATTTGAAATTTGCCAACTAGAATGGTCGGTTAACCAATATGATGTTTAATCGGGGGTCGGATAATCGATGCTCTACTGTATTTTCTTTCCCATAGTGCAATAAGAGAACTCATAAAAACTGGCTTCTCATACTCTGAGCATATGCAGCTTTTGTGAATTATATGTATAAAGTACAGTATACGTCTAAAAAGTAAATATTACAGTATATGCATATGAATCATTGTAAATATTAATTTTGTACAATAATGTATTTAGTAATGATTTAAGATTTTTTCAATGACTCTTAATACAGTATATTCATACACTGTATCATCTTCAGACTGATGCATGCATAGCGTACAGCAGCAGCATGCATCATTGCAAAATGTATAGCAATGTCTGCAACATTCAAATTACATATAACTAATCAAATGTTGCAAAAATACAAAAAATGTTCAGTAATGTGGCATTTTTAATAATTCAGCAGTGCTCTGCTCCCAAGTGCCAGATTAACAAACTTTTTTATATAAATAATTATGAAAATTTACAGGAATTAATAATTAAAACATTTTAACTGCAATTCAACAAATTATCATATTAAAAGTAAAAAAATACTTATTTTTTTATAAAACATTTTAACTGCAATTCAACAAATTATCATATTAAAAGTAAAAAAATACTTATTTTTTTATGAATGTTTTAATTAAAAATAAAATTAACAACAAATTAATATAACAAATATTTTCAAGAAAAAAACTCAAAATTAATTTTTAAAATGTGCTACTAATAATTTGGATAAGAGTATATAAAAAAATTAAATTATTATTAAAAGGTATTTAATCTGTTATAAATTTTGAAATTATATAACTTCAAATTAAAATACTATACTTCTCTACTCCATTCTGTCTGTGATTATCTTACTAAAATTCTATTACTATTGAAAAACAAAAAGAAAATTAAAACTAAATTTATTTTCACAGAATTCCAAATGATATGCAAAATTTTAATACAGTAGAGCGTCGATTATCCGAATCAATTGGAGACTGGGGTTGTTCGGAAAATCGATATTTCGGATAACCAATTATGTACAAAAAAATATATTAACCTATCCCATGTTGAAATTTTTCTCTGTTGCGTGTTGCTTCATGTTGACTTTTTGTCGATGTTAAGCCTAACGTAAACTTTTTAAAATAACAACTGTGACTATTGTATCATTAAAAATTATTCTTTTATTTTGTACAAACAAAATAAATATATTGAAAAATATAAAAACAATAAAAAATTATACTTCAGAAGTTAATTTAGTATCAAAAACGTAAAATATTTGAGTAGCCCAAGACATAGCCAAAGATTGCAGCACCACAGCACTGGCAAAAATTTAAATTTGCCAACTGGAATTCTTTTGGATAATTGACGTTTCAGATAATTGACTTTTGGATAATCGACACTTTACTGTAATTCATTTTATAACTAATAGTTTTCATATACCAGGAATGCACAACTTTTTCTGAAGAAGGGCCAGGTTAAGATTAAGTTTACTGACCAGGGGGCTGCACCATTTTTACAACCCTCTTTGTTGACAAGGAGTCTAAGGCTAATTACTTTAGCCGCAGGCAGTGTTGACAATCACAGGAAATTTATGGCTTGACATGATTTGAACTAATTATTAAATCCAAAACTTTTTAGTGCAATCAGCTTCCTTTTATTCATATGGCTCTATTCCGACTATGAATTTTCTTGGTCCAATGTAGTAATTAAAAATTTGAGTGCAAAAAAATTTTTCTCTACTTTTGATCTATGAAGAAACATTGTTGTAACTAATTGGTTGTTATAGTTTTGTACATTCCTTTTTGAACTCTGATTGGTTTTTTCTAGTTTGAATGACATTAGATTGACAAATTATTGTCTTTTCAGAAAAGATTGATTCAAATTTCACGGGAAGTACCACACCCTCTTTGACTATACCAATCAGAATCTAGAATATAAACAAATACTAAAAAATCGTTATTTTCATGGTTTTTCAGCACTATTTTCACTATGTTTTATGTTATTTGATGCTATTTAGACGAAAAGCAAGTTTTCCAAAGCATAAAATTGAAAATTTTCTGCCAAAATAGAAACTTCCTGATAACATTGAAAATGACATTCTAACATCACTTATTCTATTTGATTCTTCTAAAAATCGTTATAATATTATGTGTTAGACTTAAAATATTCAATATCTAAACCAAAAATTGTGTTAGCTACAAATAGACAAACTTCAACCGCTTCCATTTCTCACCTCGGAAAGTCATAAAACAGTTGGGTGCAAATGACTTTGTGAAAGAGAAAAAGTTTTATTCTTGAAACTTTAAACTTGTTTAGGAGAGGAAAAATTTATCTAGCTAACAGATAAAAAAATTGGTTCAATTTTATACAATTTTTTTTTTTTTTGTCTAGTACATAGCAAAGTGAGTTTCGCAGAAAAAATGTTATGGCTAAACGTTTCAAGTCATCTTTTATGAAAGAGATAGAGTGTTCATGGTTTTGGTGACAATTTTCCCAGGTGTCAGATTCTCAGTTACTTTTATTGGATAAAGCCAAGTCTTTGAAGCCTAAAAGTGCCAATCTCAGCTTAAAAGGAGTGTAAGTAATAATTTTATTGTCCAATAAAGTAGAAAACGTTCTCCATAGACTTAACATAGGAAGGGTTTGTTTCACTGCATTAAGGTAACAGGACCCACATTGCAACAGAGCAAGTAATCCATAGACACACTTGAAAGAAGTGATTCAGCCTATACCTTCCGTGGACTGCATAAACAATGAAAGGGAGCCATATGTAGCCCTCGGGCTGCAGGTTATGCATCCGATATACATTTTCCTATACTTTTCCATTTTAATTATTACTCTAATAATCTCATAGTTAATTAATACTTACTTAAAATTTTCCAAATATGTATAATCATCTTCTCTCATAGCCATCTGAATACGTATAACACTCTCTCTTGCAGCTAAAGGTGTGGCACCCAGAGCAATACTTTGCCGAGGCAAATTTCCAAAATTATCAGGAGAAGACAGATCATTTGTTCTAAAAGAAATTTAAACAATAAATTTAAGTTAAATATTAAAATAACTTTTGGTAAATTCAATTTTAATTATTATTAAATTAAAAACTTAAAATGCTTTTTTATATCATCAATTTGACACTAAATTTTGAACAAATCATAGAATCATATTGTAATATTTAATTACAGAAAAATTAATTTTTAGTAATAGCATTTTTACACAGACAACTGAAATTACATGTCATTTAACTATTTCAAACAAAAATTTTGACTAGATAAAATAATAATTTAGAATAGAATAAAATATAATCATATAATTAATAATTTATTGTTAAGCATAAAATAAAAAAATGAGAGAGTAATTCATAATTAAAATAATAATTTGTTTTTATTTTTGTCAAAATTTTTATTCATATAATTGACATATATATTATAAAAATTTTTCTACAATTGGAAGGTTCTATTTTTAATAATTAATGTTACAAATATAGATGATTGTTATTTCTTTTTTACTTCTTTAATGTACTATTCCTTCATTATTCTATTTACGAACATTCAAATAAAGTAATTTCAAATTTGCCTATAAGATAAAATGTTTATAAATGTTTGCTTACATTTTTACTTCACTTAATATGATTATTTTGTTAATTTTTTAAATTTTAAATATATTTAAATATAAATAAAACAAAATAAACTGATGATTTAAAACAAGTTGCAATCTTGATTATAGAAAAAAGTGCAAATGATTATTTTTATTTGTATAATTAAATAATAATTTTCCAAGTTAAGACAGGTGAATATCTAAAATGTGAATCTTTGAAAACAATTTAACATTAAATATGAAAGAAAAAAAAAATACTTTGTGGTAATAAATTAGTTATAAATATACAGAAAATTATTAAACTACTAAAAGACTGATTCTTACAATAATGATAATAAATGAACTTAATAGTCATATTATAATTATTAAAAATGTAATTTATTCATCATCTATTTTATGTAAAATTCTCATTTTACCTTGAATCAATAGAATCTGTATCTTTTTCTTTTGATGTGTCACAAATGCTATCATCATCTGTGATAAACATGTCTGAGAAATTATCTTCAAATCCCATACCTATAATATTAATAATGTATGTTATTTTTAAAATTAAAAAACAGTATTTTTTAACAGAAAATTCCATTTGATATTAAAATACTATATTTGTCTTTTACTTCAATAAATTGATTCAAATAATAAAAATTAAACAGTTGTAATAAATTTAAACTCTGAATTTAATGTATCAATACATATAAACCAATAAAAATATAGTTCACAAAAATTGTTGAAAAATNGTCATTTTGTCAAATATGTTAATAAAAAGTTTTCAAAATATGTAAACAAAAATTTATAGAAAACTTTTACACAAGCACATTCTTGTTAGGAGTGGAACTACAATGGTTGCAAAGAGGTTTGGCCAAACCACAAGTTAGAGCCAGCAGGGACCTGAATGCATTGAGAAAGAGGAAAAGAAAGAAAGAAGAAAAGAAAGAAAAAGAAAAAGCAAAAAAATGTGAAGGGCCCAAAGTGAAGCCTCTGATTCTTGTAGTAAATTTTTCATTTAAAGTTGAACAGAAAAAAATCCAAACTATTTAAAATATAAAAAGTTATTTATTTATTTATGATTCTTTTAACAATTTATGCTCGTTTCAATAAGCCTTCAGTGTATTTTATCTATTGTGCAATTGCTAAAGCTGATAAATTATTATTCTTTTTAATAGAAATTGTGTGTTTTAATCTAAAGATTAAAATCAAATGTAAACTGCTTTTTTAATACAAGTTCTTAGGTGAATCATATATCTGAATTTTTCTAAATAAGAAATTTTACCTCTAACAATGAAATTTTTTAATATAAAAAAGATTCAAATACTTTTAAAAACTATTAACTTATTTATTTTTACAGACAAAAAGCAGCCATTGTCTATATATAGTTTTCATGTTCTTCCCATATCTGTATGGATTCTCTCTAAATACTACTGTTTCCTCCCAAATCTCAAAGATGGACATGTTAGATTAATTGTCATGTCTAAATTGCCTTGTATAAAGGAGTGTATATGCACATATAAGTACATCATGCAATAAAATGGCACCCTGTTTCTGGACAGGATGTCAGGATGCAATGTAGTTAGTTCCCACTTTGTGCAGAGTTACCAGAATAAGCATGTCATTTACAACCCTAAATTTAAGCAAGTGGCTTGGAAATAAATGTATGAATACAAATTATTGTAAAATAAAAATTACAAAAAGAATGATAATCATACAAATTCATGACAAGAAATGATGTGGTAAAAAACTGCTTAGAAAATTAAGCTTCCTTTCCATATACTCATCACCATTATGACTGTCACTCTCTGATTCATCAAAATTTGGTAAATAATCATCTTGTTTTCAATAATTGTTCAATGTGTGTAGCTCACAATTATTTTGATTTTTAATATCAGATATGTTTTGGCAGTTATTTAGAAGTTCAGTGACCAGAAATATGCTGCAAGAACTTCAATTCCTGTTTATATCAATTAGTCTCAGATAAAATTTATTCTGTTACACATAAACTTTCACTGTTTTACAGTTTCCAAAACCTACCAACAATACAAAGTGAAGACTTCCTGTATACAATTGAAATCAGTACCAAATTTTAACCAAGTTGAGATCAGCACTATATCAGTTACATTATATATATATATATTCACATTCATTTATATATATATATATATAAATGAATGTGATTGTGCCTATATTTCACTTTGCAGCCAAAACTACACATCGCACATGAATGGTGTTTGTTTGTGGTAGTAGCCCCAAGTCTCCCATCATGCACTATGGTGGTTATGTCTTGATAGCTATAAGGGTGTGGGAGATATGGGGGTTGAAAGTGGTTGACTTCAAAAATGTCTGACATTTCAATGAGAATGTTCCAGTTTTTTCTAGAAAGTTGCAGAATTTTAAAGAAAGTTCTAAAATTTTCTGGAATATCGTAGAATTCTCACACACATTCTCTGTCCTCACTCTCATTCTTCATCCCTACAACCTACCCCCTCTCATTTCTTTTTAAATTAATAATACATTATAGTACAGCTTATTATAGCTTATTAAAGCTTTTGGACATATCCAGAAATTTTAAATATTTTATGATTAAAAATAACTATCTGAATTTTTTAAAAAAATTTTTCTTTACCAATCGTATTCTGATTAACTTTTTATGTACAAATAATTTTATTTTATCAGTTTTTATTGAATTATTATATGAAAAAATATTTTAGTTAAAATGTTCTACAATATTTTTATTTAATACTTTATTTATGTTCTAGAATGAACTGGGCCAGAAGGTTCAAAAATGTTTTGGAATAGTCGAGGACCATTATGTGTGAATAGTGGGGATGGCTTTTGGCAAAGTGTGAGGCACATGCTTCAGTTGATTTTTCATAAGTAAAAGTGTACAAATAACAGAAGAAAGTGAAAAGTGAATAGTGAAGTGTGAAAAGTAAAAATATAAAAAACAATGCCAAAGTGTAAGAAAGAATTTTCACAGTCTTGAATCATATCGCAAAGGCAAAAGATGGTGTGGAGAAATGAAACCACAGAAGAAAGAGAAGTACGTCTAACATTGCTACGAGAAAATTATCAATGAAACAGAAATAACAGACAAAAGAGCAACTTGAAAATTATAGGAGAACACATTGAATCACAGAAAGATTATGTAGAGGAAGAGAAACAAGTGCACAGTTGGATGAAAGAAGAAAGCAAGAGTAGACAATCATATACTTAATTGTCAGCAATTGTTTCTACAGTTTATTGTTGTATGCAAGCAAAAGTAGAAAAACTATATTACATATAAATGTACGAACAAATAAAAACCCAGCAAAGCGGGTACTTGCAGCTAGTTCTTAATAAAATAAACTAAAATTTAAATTATTAGACAATAGTAATTTAGACTAGAAGATAAGAAGTTTCCTTCTTATAAAAAATTCACATAATAAAAATTAGAAAGTAAATATAAAAATTTTATAAATACCTGATTTTATTGATTTTGTTTCAAGGTTGTTAATAGAGCCATTGTCCATATCCGAAAGATTGGAAAAATGATTTGATAAATTATTTTGATCAGTAATTTTATATTTTTGCAACCATAAGAAGTTTGGAAGAGGTCCCATTCTTAAAGAATATGCTGAAAAATAAATATAAATAAATAAATATATATAATATATATATTTCAGTCATAGATAACTATTTATCAAGAACATTTATTCAAAAACCCGTGACTAAGATAATAAATTTCTTTATAATCAGTATTAAATTTTACATTAAATGTTATAAAAAAGAAGCTACTTGTCTATTGATGTTAATGATTTGCTTCTTATTTATAACTCTTTGATGTTGAGTGCCACAAATGTCTTAATTTATACAAGGACAATCCAGAAAGTAACTTATGTTTTAGAATAAAAAAACTCAAGTGAAAAGAAACTTTTTATTATATACATTTGGAAGTTACACTCTTAAATTATTTTTCATCATAGACACCATTCAAATTGAGGCCCTTATCAAAACAGTGTACCAGCTTATTAATTCCATCATCATAGAATTTTGTCACCTGAGATTTCAACCATTCATTCACACTTGCCTGCAGTTCTGTGTCATCATCAAAGAGCTGCATTGCAAGCCACAACTTCATACATGGAAACAAACGGTAGTCACTCGGCACAAGGTCTGGACTACATGGCGGATGATCAAAGATCTTCCATCTGAAACTATCCAAGAGCCATCAAGTATGACTGGCCATGTATGAGCAGGTATTGTCATAAAACATAATTGTGTAACTCAATTTTCCCCAATGTTTGTTTTTAAATAGCTTTTCTTAACTTTAATAATGTTTCACAATATCTCTCAGAGTTTATTGTTGAACCATGTACAAGGAAATTCATCAGAAGCAAAAAAACGATTGCCATGATCTTTCTTGTTAACAACGTTTGCCAACATTTCCCTCTAGCCTTCTGGTTTTATTGCTGTCCCCATATTGTATGGTCTCCCATATGTATGCATATACTTTATCGCTTCCACAAGGTTTTTATCATCACACCACCTGCATGGGAATTTATCTGTCACATAACTTGATTTCCATCTTTTCATAATGCACTTCATCTTGTTAATTGTGCTCCTGGAACCCCGGTTCCTATGTAATCTCCTTTTTCCTCTTTACTATCTCACTTTACATTCCTCTTCCCTCTTACCCCTTCAACTTCACGTCTTCCTTCCGTTTCATCTCTTGGGCTATACCATTGAGCACAGCCCTTTAACCTTTCTATTGTATTGTATTGTATTGCCAACATTTCCTTGGTTTTGTGCGAGAACTTGTGTATCCCTATTCCATAGACTGGTTTTTTTTTGTCTCGCAATTTATGTGTTTTATTCCAGTCTCATCCCCAGTTACGACAAGATTGAGAAATGAGTCACCATCTCTGTGGCAGGCTTCCAGAAATGTAAACAATGCTGCCATGATCTGTTTTTTGTGGTAATCTGACAAGATTTTTGGTATCCATCTGGCATAAACTTATGATAGCCTAGCTTGTGCATTACAACCTCATACAACAAACTCCATGAAATTTGTGGAAATTGTAATTGTGAAGCGGTTTTCACAAATCTTTCCATTGATTTTCGCCACCAGTTCTTCAGTCAAAATTACTTGGATGGCCACTTTGCTTTTCATCGTAAACATTAGTGCAGCCATTGTTAAACATAATGCACCACTGCCTCATTCAGCCTTCATTCATTACGTTGTTTATGTATACCTCATAAAGTTGCCAATGAATTTCAATTGGTTTGTGCTTTTTTGCCAACAAAAACTTAATCACTGACTGCACTTCACAACTCATAAGATTTTCAATTGCAGCACACATTTTAAAAATTTACAGTGGACAAAGTAGAAGCAACACAAACCATACAGTAATGCAGCTGAATGTTAATGAGTGAGGGAATGCTCTGACACCAAAATGGCTGATCTAGCCCAACCCCATGCTCCTAACAGCCAAAACATAAGTTACTTTCTGGATTGCCCATATACATTGAAAATTAATAAACCAAAAATTCAACTAATGGCTTTATGTAGAAAAATTCATTCTACAAAAAATCAATTTCTTTAAATAAATATACACAGAAGTCAAGTTAATTTTATATCCAGCAAAATATAATAATGTAATAAGACTGATTTTGTTTTCATGCAATTTTTAAGATATATCAGAAATGTTAAGTTAAGACTAAAATAATTTTCATGTAGGATATGTTAGAATATGCACTGTTTTAATCTAAAAACAATGGCAAATTATCACTTATCTAAAATTCAGCTAATAAACATTTCTGAGAAATGTCTAATTATCCCTTTCATTTAAAACATTTTTAATGTTCTTTTTTTAATAATTATCATGTCCTAAAAAAATTATAAACTAAATTGAAAAATGAATAAAATATTACATTTTAATTATTTTCAATTTTAAATATAGTTGAACCTATCTACCTCAAATCTCATGAGAATGAGAAAAAAGTTTGACAGACAGATTTTGAGAAATAGAGGTTCCTATTCAGTAATAGGTTTGATTGAAGGTATGGTAATTTATTAATAAAATAGTAAGTACAGTATGTATCTATATTAGCTATAAATAAAACATTTAGACATACCTTAACAGAAATAGTTTGTCAATAGTTTCTGATGCCTGACTTTCTTCAACTAATAAGATGCAAGCCAAACTCATAACTAGAGAAAAACTGCATTAATTGCAACTATGTACTGTATTAGAAGAGATATTTCTCAACTATTCAACTCAAGATTTATGCTATGAAAATGTAGTGGCCGAGCTTTGATTTGTAATTGACACTTCAGTCCATAATTTCAGATATATTGGTTTTGGAGAAAATTATTTGAGATAAACATGGGAAATATAGTGAATTTAGGCTGAAAATGCAGGGGAAAAAATAAATTCTGAGATTTAGAGGTTTTTGAGATAAACATGTTTGAGATAGACAAGTTCAACTGTATTTCATTAATTTTACAGAAATGTTAAATGTCATACAATTTGAATAATTTGATTTTTAATTTTCACTTTAGTTTGTTTCAATATATATATCATTAAATCATTATGAAAATTAAAAAAAATTTTTTTAATAAAAGGATTCTGTTAGTTCTTAAATATACAAAACTTAAGATATTAATGCATTTATTCTACCAATGTAGGAAAAAACAACCATATTTATTGTCTCAAGAAAATTTAATGCAATAGAATTACAATTACAAAATCAATTTTAATAATCAAGAAAATTTTAAAAATTATTAATTCTTAATATTAAAGTTAAAAATAAATTACTATTAGAAAATTTAGAAAATTGACTTACCAAATTTTTAATTTAATAATAATAAAATAAAATAAATCAGTACCTTCTGAAACTTTTGAAATCATATCAACAAACATATTTGCTTTCTGTGAATATTGCAGTTCAAAAAGTAGTTTCTGTTTTTGATAAGTAATTTTAACATAAATATCTGCACCTGTTTTTAAAAATTAAATTAAATATTAAATTTTACCAACATTTTAAAACCAAACATAAATTTCCATTTTATATTTTTAGTAGCTAAGAATCTTTAACAAATAATTTCTAAAATATTAATAAATGTTTTATATACACATATCAATACAAATATTAAAAATTATCAGTAACTTACCTAACACATCTACACCAGAAGTATCTGAAAAAGTCAGCATGTTAAAAATCTCAAAATTATCAATATAATATTTATTAACATTAACTTTTCAACTAATCAGATTATTTTAAATTTCATATAAACTATTTCTTACTACAATAAATAATTTATAAATTTCTGGAAATAATATGATAATGCTTATTTACTAGAAATTTTTTAAAAGTTGTCTTTTTTCTAAATCTTTTGTTATAACTTTAAAATAAATGTATGGTTTGATAATTGTACCAAAATTGTTATCTACTACTACTATATTTTATGTATGATATTAATAAATCACCATACATATTTACATTAACTATAACTTAATTAAAGACATAAATGTACCATACAAGAAGTTCATAAATTACACGAGAATTATAATCTATGGTAATCATGCATAATTTGAGCAAAATTTTCCATTTAAATGAATGATAAAAACAATTGTTACACAAATTTAACCTTACTAACACATCATAGAAACAGATGATGGAACATCCTACACAAATAGTTTCAATAGAATATTTAATAAATAAATTTAAAAGAGTTTGGATAAACTAAACTTAAGGACAAAAAAGTTTTTCTGAAGGATTGATTCTTTAAAGATTCTTTAAACATGAGATGTAGAGAAAGCAAAGTGTAAAATGAGAAAAAGAAAAATGACTAGTTGGAAACAAAGAGCTAATTTAACTAGACTTATAGAAACAACTTTTAGACTTAATTTTAGTTAAACCGTTCTGTTTAAAAGTTTCAAAAATTTAAAAATTTGGCTGATGATTTTTAATTTTTTAAACAAATATAAAAATATCATGAATATACATGAAAAAATTCTTGCTTTTGTATTCATTTCTGTCGTTCACATCAATGACAGTCCAAAATAAAAATGCTCATGAATAGAGATGACATTTTCTTTGAGACTCTGCACAAAGAAAAGGTTGTTTCCATGTGGCCAATATCCAATTCTGTGGCAATTTCTTCCACAGTCACTCATCTCTTGGCATCAATCATATTCTCTACTCTTGCAACATTATCTTTTCAAAGTGGATGTTGATGGCCATCCAAATATCTGCTCATCTCTAGCAGTCTCAATCATTACAGGAATTGCTTGCATCATTGTTGCACTGTTTTCTTTGACATTACATAGGGTCCATATACCTCCACCATTCACTTATAAAGCTAAGCTAAGTGACAGATGCACTACATACCTATTCGTAGTAGGTAGACCTGCACTTCATCCCTTGTCTATATCTCATACACATTGTTATAAACAGTTACACTGTTCACCATCTTGTCTTGTCCATTTGCAATTTTGTTCCTTATTTTAGACTACGTCATATTTTATTAATTCATTGGTTCCAATAGTGAATCAATGTCCAGTTATTTCACTTAATACATTGTACTATCATATTAATTAAATCTAACACATTATATTATNTATTTATTAACATTAACTTTTCAACTAATCAGATTATTTTAAATTTCATATAAACTATTTCTTACTACAATAAATAATTTATAAATTTCTGGAAATAATATGATAATGCTTATTTACTAGAAATTTTTTAAAAGTTGTCTTTTTTCTAAATCTTTTGTTATAACTTTAAAATAAATGTATGGTTTGATAATTGTACCAAAATTGTTATCTACTACTACTATATTTTATGTATGATATTAATAAATCACCATACATATTTACATTAACTATAACTTAATTAAAGACATAAATGTACCATACAAGAAGTTCATAAATTACACGAGAATTATAATCTATGGTAATCATGCATAATTTGAGCAAAATTTTCCATTTAAATGAATGATAAAAACAATTGTTACACAAATTTAACCTTACTAACACATCATAGAAACAGATGATGGAACATCCTACACAAATAGTTTCAATAGAATATTTAATAAATAAATTTAAAAGAGTTTGGATAAACTAAACTTAAGGACAAAAAAGTTTTTCTGAAGGATTGATTCTTTAAAGATTCTTTAAACATGAGATGTAGAGAAAGCAAAGTGTAAAATGAGAAAAAGAAAAATGACTAGTTGGAAACAAAGAGCTAATTTAACTAGACTTATAGAAACAACTTTTAGACTTAATTTTAGTTAAACCGTTCTGTTTAAAAGTTTCAAAAATTTAAAAATTTGGCTGATGATTTTTAATTTTTTAAACAAATATAAAAATATCATGAATATACATGAAAAAATTCTTGCTTTTGTATTCATTTCTGTCGTTCACATCAATGACAGTCCAAAATAAAAATGCTCATGAATAGAGATGACATTTTCTTTGAGACTCTGCACAAAGAAAAGGTTGTTTCCATGTGGCCAATATCCAATTCTGTGGCAATTTCTTCCACAGTCACTCATCTCTTGGCATCAATCATATTCTCTACTCTTGCAACATTATCTTTTCAAAGTGGATGTTGATGGCCATCCAAATATCTGCTCATCTCTAGCAGTCTCAATCATTACAGGAATTGCTTGCATCATTGTTGCACTGTTTTCTTTGACATTACATAGGGTCCATATACCTCCACCATTCACTTATAAAGCTAAGCTAAGTGACAGATGCACTACATACCTATTCGTAGTAGGTAGACCTGCACTTCATCCCTTGTCTATATCTCATACACATTGTTATAAACAGTTACACTGTTCACCATCTTGTCTTGTCCATTTGCAATTTTGTTCCTTATTTTAGACTACGTCATATTTTATTAATTCATTGGTTCCAATAGTGAATCAATGTCCAGTTATTTCACTTAATACATTGTACTATCATATTAATTAAATCTAACACATTATATTATGATTAAATACACCCACACCCATATATATATATTATATACATATATATATAAGTATTATAAGTATTATAATATATAGTATATAGTAGTATTGTAGTATATAAGTATTATATACAGATATATGTATATATATACATATCAAAAAGTATTGTAATTTAGTTTAAAATATAAAATTTAACAATATACAGTATAATTGCAATTTATACAAGAAGAGGGTGCATTTCTGGAATATGTGAATAAATGAAATTCTACACAAAGGAAGACTATCTCATAATTGTAATTCAGGAAATGCATTCTATAAACATGAAACCAATCACATTTAAAGATTTTGACTTATTTTAAAGTAAATTAAGAACATTTTTTTTATAATATATATAAGAGAAAATTAAATTTTAAACAGTAATTTGTACTGTATGACAACACCTTTAGCAAGTTTGGACTGAAAGTTACTTGCATAAATTACATGTTCAGCATCTTATTTTAAAAAAATATAGGCAATAATGTTTAAATTTAAATACTATTTTTCAAAACTAAAAGACCAAAAACGTTCTCTTATAAACTTCGGCTGCAAGAAAAGGTGTTTTAGTAAGTGTTTTAATATTACAGTATGCAGTCTAGAACGAATACTATTTTTAAATCATAGTATGTTTGTAACCAACATTTATTTAACACAAGAAATGTTTTCAATCTATCTTATGCCAAAAATATTTCTTGTATAAATTAAAATTTGGTTCCAAACATAAATCAATTATTATTATTTAAATTTAAATACTACTGTTTAATTTATAAAATGTTCAGAATTGATTTAATATACAAATGTTTGAAAAAGTACATTATAGCTATAAACTAATGTTGTTCTAAGGCAGGCCAGAAACATTTCTCATGTAAAATTTCAAAAAAAAATTTAGTTTTCAGAAGAAGTAATTTTTATTTTAATTCACAAAATGGTGCCAGGATTTACTGGATTCATGCATTTAAAATTTAACCACATTATATACTTCATATTTCAGTGTTAAAAATCATTTAATCCAAATTTTTAAATTATAATGTACTTTAAAAATAAAAATATAGATAAAATTATTTATCACCAGTTGAATTTTACTGACACTAAATAATGTAAAATGACTGCAAAATGTTATATGTAAAATGAAACACTGATATATAATATAATGTACCAATAAATAATATGAAATATATCAATATTGATGTAATTTAAATAATAATAATAATGATACTGAAATAATATTTTTAATAATTATATTTTATAGGTATATAATTTGCATCTTACTTACAATTATGATTTTATTCTTTGTTTATACAGTATAATAAATTCAATTCTGAATATACATAGCAAAAATCTTATCTTTGATCTTAAATTTATAGAAAACTGTTTTATTGGCTTCATGCCAACAAAATAAAATAACAAAGGCTACAGAATTATTTAAACCATTAAAAAAAACTATCAGATAACCAGATTTTAAACTATATATTTCAATAAAAATAAAAATAAATTATTTAAAATAATTATTATATTATANTAATTTTACTTTTGAAACTATTCATTCATTCTTTAGAATTATGCTGAAAATTTTATGAAAGCAATTTATGAAATTAATAAAAACATTAGTATGAAAAGCTGCAACTCTTTCATACAAATGTTTCCTGTGAATCTAATTTTTGTAAATATCAAAATTATGTAAAGGTTGTCAATTAAGCCTTAATAAAATAATTCCTAATAAAATAAACTTTTGACAATTACATTTGATCAACAAGTCTGGAAAACAAGTGGACAATAAATAATCCCAAACTGTTCTTTTAGAATCACTTCAGATAGACACAGACCTTGAGAAAACTTTATAGATAGAATGAAGTGTCATAAAAAAGTTAGAATTATTGAAAAATGACTTGAAAATGTGGAAGACCACATATGTTATCATATTCATTACAGAACTGTTCCATACATCTTGCAACAGTTCAGTAAGGCAAATGTCCAGTTTGCACATGCTTCTTGCAATTCCTTAAAACAATCTTTGGTGTTTTTACTACAAGAAACTTAATAAATCATTATATGACTTCTTTGTTCTAATCTTGCAAGTATTTTCTTAGATAACGAAAAATACAAGTTTGTTTCTTATTTTTACTATAGAAAAATGATGTAACATGCAAATATATCACTTGAAAGAAATAATGATGTTATTAGCTTTTAAAATAGATAAGCTTTCCAAGAATTTAATTATTTATAAAAATTAAGGTGTTGTGATGACTTAACTCACAGCCCTCACATGTAAATATATAAATTCATCTATCTATTCAAAACTACATGATTTTATCATCATCATCAACTGAAATTAATTTAAACTATTGTTGTCATAACACTACGAAAATATATTTGTAATTACCAATTTCACATTTAAAATTATCATCTACAGGGAATGTTTTTTCAATTGAAATATCTTCACTACTTGTAATCGTTGCTTTAGATGAAATGCAAATGAGAAACCTGTAAATAAAGAAAGAGATAAACAAACACTAAAATATTTATCATCAAGATACATAATAATAAATTAATCATTAAATTACTAAATAAATTATTCATCAAACTTTCACCTGTTAATTTAACACTAGAACCACTTAATTTCACTTAATTTAACACTAGAACCACTGTACTGTTCATTTTGACTTGTATAGCTTATTGACTATTGCATATCTTTTGAATTTTCAAAGCTTTTTCTTTAAACTTTCACAAGTTTACCGAAACTTATATTATCTTACAATGGGATAATGTTTTCGAAAAACTAAGAATTTTTCCCCTATTAAACATGATAATATACTGTGAACCACAAACTACAAGTCATTTTGACCCGAAGTTTTATGTATCGATATATCAATCAATGCACACATATATAAGAACATAACTCAGAGATGCATTCCCAGGTACAAATATCTTCAAAAGCTATCATAATAATTGCATCAAGAATATCTAGAGGGAAAAAAATATAGCCCACTTTAACCATTCCAAACCATGAAAAGTCTGGAAATTACTTTGACAGTAGATCCCTTATCTACTGTCAAAGTAATGGCAATCATTCAACGTAATTCTGTAATTCTTGCAAAGTTCCTGTTTATAGAAAATTCACAGCAGAGATTCAAGTAATGTATTTGATGTGCAGTAAAAAATACTGATAGAATAAGTTAATTTTTGGTCATTTATAAATTTTGATAGCAAAAGAATATATTCAGAAATGTGTATAATAATAAATACATGTCAAAATAATTACATCAGACTCTTTACATGCAATTTTTCTATTACAGGTCAGAATGACCAGTATCGGACAGTTCTTGGTACAAACAAATTCTGACATTCCTAGTGTTAATTTCCCTGCATTAGAAAGTTATTTTACTATCACTAAAAAACTAATAAGAAAATTTTGAAATTTAGTTTACAATTTTTTAAATTTATTATTGAATGTATTATGTTATATTGAATAATTGATTAATGCTCACTGGTAATAAAAAAATATTAGAAATCAGACTAGAACCAATATCAGTTGTTATTATTATTATTAAATCAGAATATAATCAAAAAAATATCAAAAGAAATAAAGATGTGAAAATAAACACATATTTGTAATCAACCAGCTTAAAATTATAATTTATTGACTAAGATATTTTCAAAAATTATCATAAAATTTCAAAGCCTTACATCAGTGATATCAATATTACTAAAACAATCTCTCAGATTATCTGTTGGGATATATTAAAGCTAATTAATAAATCAGATACAAAGCAATTTGGCTAGAGATAAGCAATTAAGCCACAATCTCATAAATTTAATAATTATAAATTAATTAATTTTAATTCAGAAATTTTTCTTCCAGAATATTTTAATTTCTCATGAGCTGGCAGCTTAACTGCCTAAATCTAGCCAAACTACTTTGTATCTAATTATTAATTAGCTTTAATATAGCTCAATAAATAATCCAGCAGATCATTTAGTAATCCTAGTGTATCAGATTAATGTGTATGATATCAATGTTAAAAATACATCAAATAAAACTGAACAGTTTTCTTTTTTTTACTTCATGGAAAATACATTTCATGTTTACATTTGAAGAATATAAAAATTTATTATACTGTTAATTGAAATACTGCACTACATTGTGAAAAATCTATTTCCTGTGAAGCCAGATTTTCGTGTACATACTTCAGAGAGAAGAGTACAATATTTATCAAGTATATTAAATGTCTTAATCCTCCTGGAAAAAATTTCAACTGTATCATGCCCTTGATGCTAACAAATGAATTATCAGAGTTTAAAATAAAGATAATAGTTATCTGTATCTGAATTTCCTGTAATCAAAGATATTGTGTATTGTATCACAATAAACATTTTCAGCATAAACTTCATAACTCAAGATTCAGGTTAAAATTACAAAATATTGTCAAATAAGTAGCTTCTACAAACTTCAGGATCACATTTTACATTTAATTAATTTTTACTATCTCAGATTCAGAGAAACCTTGTTAATATTCTAAACTAAAATCATTTACAAATCAAGAACAGTTAAGTGACTATCAAAATACTCAATTTTCAAATCATATTTTATAATTCAAATCATTTATTAAAAAACTTACAACTTTTACTCAATATTCAACAAAAAATGTTTCAAACCATATATTCATCATCTGAGATTAATTAATCAACTACAAACATAAATTAAAATCAAAAATATAATTACAGTAACATTTTACATTATGTGATTGAGATGCTCAAAAAAATTAAGAGAATAATGCAATATCAGCATAATTAAGCATGAGCTCAAGAAAATCTTTTAAATATATTTTTCCTAACTAACTAAATGATTGGTTATCACTATAAAAGATTGCAACAAACATGCCATGCAAATTGACTACTGACTGTGATTGGAGAAATTCAAGTTTAAGGTACTGCATTCAATGACTCATTGACATTTCACTACAAATAAATAAAATTTATACTATACTATATTTAAATTGTAGTATGTTTCAATAATTGGTCATGATTTCATATTCAATAATCCAAATATTAATATATATTAAGACATGTTTTTAATTTAGGAAGTTTAATAATAATTTAATGTGTAACATGGGGCTATTGATATTACTTAAATGTTTTCAGATAATATACAAGGTGTGCTCATAAAGTAATGCAAGTGTTGTCGTAAGAAAAATTTATTTGAGATATAGTTACAAATGTTTAGAAATCTTCAAAGTACTCCCCTCATGCATCTACACATTTTTTGCAGCAATTTTCCCAGGCATGATACATGCCCTGAAAGGCCTCGGTGGGAACCTCATTCAGAGCAGTCGTCATGGCAGCTTGGATTGCCTCAATGCCATCAAAACAGTGTCCTTTGAGTGCAGTCTTAATCCTCAGAAACAAAAAGAAGTCTACCAGAGCAAAGTTGGAACTGTAAGGGAGTTGGGACAACATTGTCAAGTTGTGCTTCTCCAGGAACTCACAGACAAGCAGAACGGTAAAACTGGGAACATTGTCATGATGGAACTCCCAGGTGGCGGCAATCTCCTTTCACATGCAAAAGACCCTTTTTCTCAATCTTTCAAGAACATCCACATAGTAGGCAGCATTGACAGTCTGACCTGGAGGTACAAACTCCTTGTGGATCACACCCTTACTGTCGAAAAAGACAACCAGCATTGTTTTCACTTTTGACTTGCTCATTCTTGCTTTTTGTTTGAGAACACCAGAGTGCGCCATTCGACACTCTGGCGCTTTGTCTCTGGATTGTACAGTGATACCCCGAACTTACGCGATAGGTGGTACCGAGCGATAACAGTGTAAGTCGAATTCGCGTAAGTCGGGGTATAATTTCACAATTCGTGTAAAATCCAAATCGGATGTATGTAAGCTAATAAATGTTCTCGTTAATCTTATCTCTTCTTTTGATTCGTTCACGGTTACAAGAAATCGCCACATAAGAGTCTCTGAAGGCTCCGTAGATATAACAAACACAGAAATAAATAACACAAAATAAATTGTAGCTATGTGTCGATTCCGCGCGAAACGTCCGAACATGTAAGCTGAACAGTAGTGTGGGGGGAGTGAGTAATCAAGAGTTGCATGGCACTCAAACAAAAGACGAATCGAGATTTGAAAATCACGTAACTCCGGGTTCGCGTAAGTCGGGGTAGTGTAAGTCGAGGTATTACTGTACTCAAATACCCATGTTTCATCCCTGGTAATAACATTGTCTAGAAAATCAGGCTCAATTTGAACACATTCCGAAAGTTCATTTGCAATCATCACTCGATTGGCATTTTGCTCGTCCATCAACACTTTGGAGACCAGCTTGGCACACACCTTTCACATGTTGAGATCGTTTGTCATGATGGTGTGCACAGTGGTTATTTGAAGGTTCAGTATCTGTGCAATCATCCTAACACTTATTTTAAGGTCAGAGTTCAACAAATCGTGCACACGAGTCACATTTTCATCAATGTGGCTGGTTGATGGCCATCCACAGTGGGGGTTAATGGTCACCTCTTCCTGGCCCATCTTAAACATCTTCAATCACCTTGAAACTTACAAAGACGATAGAACAGAGTCCCCATAGACTTGCTGGATTGATTGGTATCAGTGTAACTTTTGCCAAGTTTGGCACAGAACTTTATCGTGTACTGTTGTTTGATTGTTTGCTCCATTGCGCATTGTAACACAGTCTTTGAGATGAGTTTCACAAAATCAATAACACTGATGCAACCACTGCTTGTAGCAGACTGACCTTGGGCATGTTGTGAAGCCAAGCATCTCCCCCATCTAGTCCAAGTGGTCCGAATGTGCTACAATGCACAGTCGCTTCACAATAAAATCACTTGCATTACTTTATGAATACACCTTGTAAAATATTGTAATAGTAATACTTTTCTTTAAATCTGTATAATTTTAGAATATTTATAGATAATGATCTTAAAACGAATATATAGGGTGTCCAGATTGAGATTGGCACATTTTGACTGTCTATAAGTAAAATTAGTTAAGAACTATAATTAAGATAAGATATACAATTTGAAGACAAACACCAAGTTTTATTGCAATAATCAGTATGGTTCTACTTTAACTTCTTCTTACATAGAATTATAAAATATTCATGTGCACTCCTTCTGTTGCACTGAAAATATCTAAACAATATTCATAAATTTGACATTCTTGATTGTTAATGTCGGGTCTCATTGGAACAAGGAATTCTCTATGCTTATAAGTTTTGCCAACATAGAATAGACTAACTTCCTGGTTCCCTTGATAGCACTGTTCATGCACATCCATCTCACTTTGTTATGGAGAGGTTCATTTCCTGGCAGCAGGCAAATACAAAATATCGACATGGGTAACACCCCATTTCTCTTGCAAATCATTAAAAAAATCCATCTTGCTCTGGCCTTAGTTAGGCCTACCACCGCAAAATGATAAAGTCTAGCCAGCATCGCTACAGAATACTTAACTGCACTACACTGGGATGAATATATAAAAAATATATCTGAGTGACTCACAATAACCGAAGTGCAAAAGATTGACATTTGCAAACGTTTTCGAAGCCCCTTTTGAGCTCTTCCTCAGGCTTCTTTTTTATTTATTCAAACAGAGATGCAACATGAACCATTGTAAACAATATTCAATTTCCTGCTATGTGTTCTTCAACATCTGCAATAGTTGAAAAGAGAATTCCAAATTTCTGAGCTGCCTAACAAACTTTTGTGAGCTTCATTGGAAATCCTCCATGACTGCCTACCATTTCTGTCTGACAATCAAAATTTCCCACCTCTGATGTTTTGACACTTCCCATGGATAGGAACTGTTCCTTTCATGCCTTGATATTTTGTGATAAAGATCCTTTCCAAACACAAAAATTTCACTGCACTTGCACAATGGAATTTCTCACACCATATCATCATGTAATTTGTGTTTTTTATTTGAGCTGATGTCATATTGACAATCATGACTGCAGTGTCACAACTACAGTAGAGCGTCGATTTTCCGAATCAATTGGGGACTGAGGTTGTCCGGATAACTGATTTATGTATGAAAAAATAGTTTAACGTATCCGATGTCGAAATTTTTCTCCATTGCGTGTCGCTTCGCGTTGAATTTTTGTCGATGTTAAGCCTAACAAAGACTATTGTATCGTTAAAAATTATTTTTTATTTTGTACAAACAAAATAAATATATTGAAAAATATAAAAATAATAAAAAATTATACTTCAGATGTTAATTTAGTATCAAAAACGTAAAATATTTGAGTAGCCCAAGACATAGCCAAAGATTGAAGCGCCACAGCACTGGCGAAAATTTAAATTTGCCGACTGGAATTCTTTCGGATGATTGATGTTTCGGATGATTGACTTTCGGAAAATCGAAGCTCTACTGTAATTACTCTGTGCACTCAATCAATTCTAGGTTAAAACTTACACAGTTGCTCTTCCTCATACAACATGTTAAATGCATTTACCTTTATTCACTGAATTTTGGCAGTAATTTAAAATGTCATTCTCAATCAGAACACCCCAATGTGGTATTTTTGTAATCTAGAGGAATTAAAAGAATTAAACTTTGATTATATAGAGATTTGGAAAATATAGCACATTACACTTTGAAAAAGAGTAATATACTATTTTTTATAATACATTTCATATCTATACATTACCACAAAATTAAAAATCAGTTAAATTTTAAATATTAGTAGCCCCATGTTATACATTAAATTGTTATTAATTAAAGATAATATTAAATTAAATGTATATTAATGTAATAAAATTATACTAAATTAATATTCACAGATTATTAAATATGAATTCATGACAATTATTCAAATACATATTCTGATTTAAATATAAGATAATCAAAAATACTATATTTATTATTTGATTATCTTGTTTATATTTTTATCAATTTTTATCAGATTTATTTTGTTATAATATCAGAAGTTAGAATGGAATTTCACATAATTATATATATATATTTTTTTTTTTAAAAAGTAAAGTATCTATAAGAAATATACACACATTCATGATAAACTTAATATAGTATTGAGTTTTAAAATTTTGGATTAAAACTAACTGTTGTTGTTATTGTTGTTATTAAAAAAATTTCAAACTTAAAAATAATTTATCAACATTTATTTTAATAAAATATAATATAGAAATAGTTTCTATTAAAATTCCAAAAACTCTTAAGTAAAATTAAACAATTTTATACCCATGTTCTCCATTGTGTTCAACAAGAACTAAAATTCTGCTAGTTTTTACCCATTCACGAACTAGGCCAGCATCTATAAACTATAATAAAGTTAAGAAAAATTTGAATTTATTATAATAATGTCTCATAAGTTTTTTTCCTTGAAATTTGAGCACTATGCAACATTGCAGATTTTGACATTTGAATGTAGTTGAACCTGTCTATCTCAAACATATTTATCTCGAAAGCCTCTTTATCTCAGAATTTTTCTCCCCTGCATTTCAGCCTAAATTCAATATATTTTCCATGTTTATCCCAAATAATTTTCTCCCAAAACCTCTATAATTTTCTCAAGAATGCCTGAATCGTGGGTCTTTGTAGCTTTCGCAGAGTTTAAGTACAAATAAATACAGCACATTCACAAAATTTCATTACAAACTACTGTGTTCCCCCTTGTCAGCAACTAGATTTTGATAGCATAAATTGTAGTTGAGAAATATCTCTCACAATACAGTACATACTGTAGTTGCAATTAACACTGACTAACAATTAACTTTTCTCTGATCAGCTATGAGTTTGGCTTGCATCATATTGGCTGAAAAAAGTCTGGCATCAGAAAGTACTGATAAAATATTTATGTTAACATATGTCAAAAATGTATTCTTTATACCTAATATAAGTATGCACTGTTCTTGCTATCTTTTTAATAAAATACCATGCCTCCAATCAAACTTATTACTGTTTACTATATGGAACCTCTATATCTCAAATCCTGTCTATCTTGAATTCTTTTTCTCATACCCTATGAGATTTGAGATAGACAAGTTCAACTGTATTTAAATAATGAGTTAATATATGTCATTTTTAAATGGGTTAAATTATCTAAAAAAGTAAAACAAAATATTCACATAAATGAATGGTTAAGTAGGTTAGTAAAAATTAATAAAATTATTTCTTTTAAAAGAATGGCTTCCTTATTACTTTTTAAAAGAATGTTTTTAGAGATTACTGGACAATTGTCTCTGATCTCTTATTATGTATGCTACTTGATGTTGAAATAGATGGTTTGTGTTTTAAGATGTAAGTAATGTCAGTTAATGTAAATATCATATTTACTTGCATATAAGACAAGGTTTTTATTCATTTATCACAGCTTCAAATTCTTAGGTTGTCCTATATGCACTAGTGAAAGATTCATTGCATTTTTGCAAATAATTTTTGTGAACTGTGTATTTGCATTTAAATTAACACTCCTAAACCTTATAACTTCAGTAATAAACATTTAATATCAAACTAACATTTTCAACCATACATTCGGTCTTCTTTAGGTTTAAAAACTGTTAGATTCGAACATGTGAATGCATAGAACAAAAATTCTAAAATTATTTTCAAAAAATGGAACAGTACCACCGTAATTTAAAAGAATAAAAAGTTATGCATGTGCATTGCCATGTCGACGACATGTTAAATGTGATACATACTTTCCTATAATGACCTATATGTGATCCATACGTTGACATACATATAATGACATAAATGTGATACATACATTCCTATAGTGACATATATAAATACATCAATTGAAAATAATTTTAGAATTTTTGTTCTATGCATTCACATGTTCGAATCTAACAAAAATTCTAAAATTATTTTCAACTGATGTATTTATATATGTCACTATAGGAATGTATGTATCACATTTATGTCATTATATGTATGTCAACGTATGGATCACATATAGGTCATTATAGGAAAGTATGTATCACATTTAACATGTCGTCGACATGGCAATGCACATGCATAACTTTTTATTCTTTTAAATTACGGTGGTACTGTTCCATTTTTTGAAAATAATTTTAGAATTTTTGTTCTATGCATTCACATGTTCGAATCTAACAGTTTTTAAACCTAAAGAAGACCGAATGTACGGTCGAAAATGTTAGTTTGATATTAAATGTTTATTACTGAAGTTATAAGGTTTAGGAGTGTTAATTTATATACTTTCCAGTATTAGAGTAAAAAGATTTGGGGTATTTGCATTTTTTACCGGATGCTTAACCTCTTGTATTTACAAACATAAGTATTTTATCTGGGTCATTTAAATCATTCTTGTATATTGTCAGGAGTAAAGATGAATAGCAATAGGAAAAGCAAAGCTTTTGAATTGAATTCCATACTGATATTCCAAAATCACACGAGAGTCCGATATAATGAGTGTTTTCACGTGGGAATGGATTCCCACGTGAATCCATTTCCCATTCCCACGTGAAAACAGATGATTATTCAGAAATCAGAATTCAGAGAAACTCATAAGTGTAATCAAAGGAGAGTGGATTAGACTGTTAAGAATTGGCAGAAAAAGGTTCCTGATTGTCCAGCTTTACATGAACAAATTATGTTGTTGATTTTACAAGATTTTTCCTTAAAGTTTAAGATGCCAGTAATTTTTGTCGGACAATGTGTGCATTTACATTCATTTGATATTTTACTTGTGATTAAACGAAATAAAATTAGAATTGTATTAATAAAGCTAATTTTCTTTATTTTGATCTTTAAAGTCACACCTCATCCTATATGTGAGTAAATATGGTAATTGTAAAATTTAATAATTATTGTAGAAAAGTTGAGATTGTAGAAATCAAAAACCAAGACTTGTAAAAATGAATAGGTGGCCTTCTTGTTATAGAAAGTAAGTAATGGTTTTAAATATAATGTTTTTTATAAAAAAATTATCAGATAATTTAGATAACTGTAAAATTTATTATTGAGAAAACTGAAAAGGACCAGACTGTGTATCATGGCCAAAATGCTTATTTAATTTGGATTTAAGAAAGCAGTTTAAAATATTAACTTGTACTGGAACTAGAAAGAATTAAGCAAAATTATCACCTTTTTAAATATTCCAGCAAATAATTTAATATCGTAAAAACATTTTCAATCATCTTTATTATTTAACTGATGAAGATCGTTAAAGTAAAAAGAACATTAAAGAAATAGAACTTAAATTAAAATTACGAAAAAATAATAACTGTGCATGCATTTGTAATGATGTGTGCTTAAGGGAATGAATACAAAAAGTTTTAGCACAGTTATTATTTTTTTGTAATTTTAATTTACATTCTATTTCTTTAATGTTCTTTTTACTTTATTATTTAACTGATGAAGGTTGTTAAAGACAATCGAAAACGTTTTTACAATATTAAATTATTTGCTGGAATATTTAGAAAGCAGTTATATTTTAAAATAATATATATATTAAAAAATAAATTTTAATTTGGTCTTCATATAAAGTGATTTTGGACTCTCGCATTAGTGGCATAGATTATAAGAGATCAGAAGATGATTGGTGATCTCTCAAAATATCTTATAACAATATACTTACACTTTGTACATGTTTTTATATGTTTATATTACAAATATTTACATTTGTGTATTTTTTTTAATCATGTTTTTATTTTCTTCGTTACTTATTTTTATTTTTGTAGGTTGTACTGGCTGTTGTTTTATGCAATGGCTTTGTTTGGGGAGGTAATGTTTCAAGGAACAAAAAATCATCTTATGAATTTAATTAAAAAAAAAGTATTTTAAGTATTTATATTTTAAATTTTCAACAAAAACTAATATATTTGTATTTGATTATGATATAAACTCTCAAAATTAATTAAAACACCTTTAACTAAAGAAGTCTTAATTTAACTTTAGCTTCACTTTCATATATGTTGTTTAATGTTTGTTCAAATAAAACCAAACAGTTTACCAAACATCTTTAAAATAATCACACTGACTACTAACAGCACAATATTCACAACTAACAGCAAATATCCAACCCATAAAATACAGATATAATGTACTGTACATTACTTAAAATACTATAACACTGACACCAAAAATCAGCAAATAAACTCAAACACTACTCAAACATTTTTTTCCATTCAAATGGACATCATCAAACTGTCTAATACACAATGGAACTAACAATTTAAAAATTAGAACTTAAGTTTAAAAATGAACAATGTTCAAATCTTTCCAGTAGAAACCAGATTATGGCCACTATAGTGTTTTCCAGAATATGCAAACAAACATAAATAACAGATACATTTATATAATTTTTATACACCTTGTGAGAGGAAGATTTCTTTGGTATGGAGCAAAAATGAATTTTCTAGTTTTGAATGTCAGTGTATAAAGTAGAGCATTGATTATCTGACCTCCGATTAACCGTCACATCAGTTAAACGACCGTTCTAGTTGGCAAATTTCAAATGTCCGCTAGTGATGTGGCACTACAATATTTGGCTATGTCTTGGCTACTTTAATATTATTTTTGTTAAATTTTTGCGTGTTTTAGCTGGCAACACTGGCTCGACCATTAAAGGGCGGCCAGTATTTAGTATTTAAACGAGACTTAATTTTCTAATTATGAGTGGTTGTTTGTTTTGTGAGCAATAAAATAATTTAAAAATAATTTTTAACGATACGATAGTGACGATTATTATTTTTAATAAAAATTTGTTAGGCTTAACATCGATGAAAATTCAATGCGAAGTTGGTTAATAGCGATATACTAATATACTAATTACATGTGATATACTAATATACTATACTAATGTATTTTTTCATTTTTTTCGGTTATCCGATTTTTCAGTTATCTGACCAACCTGAGTCCTCAATTGAATCGGATAATTGATGCTCTACTGTAGTATTTTTAGTTAATAACAGTTTTGGGTGTTTATTATATTACTTAAATTAATAATAGTCTAAATATTGCATTAATTAATACTTTAAAATTATGCAATCACAAGAATATAAAATAATAGTAAACATATGCTAAGTATCACAATAATTAAGAAAGCATTAAACAGTTATTCATATTAAAAAATAACAGAAGCCATTATTTGTGAAAAAATTTCTATAAAATTCATGATCAAAGGATGGAGCATCTTGCCTCTTTTTATGCTTGACCAAAAGTTGCTATAATTAGTTCTCTGTTTCATTTGGACTATATAAAGAATGGAATTTGAAACAGTTCAAACCTCATATCCAGGGCCAGATTAACCCACTTTGGAGCCCTAGACATTTTCTTCTTACTGGGCCCCCTACCTCTCCCACAAGAAATAGAGCACACAAAAAATATAAAACAATAAATAAAACAAAACTAAATATGTAAAAAATTAAAACAAGCTACTGAAAAAATGGCAATCTCTGTCGGCATATCAGTCATCATCTTGTAGTTAATATTATTCTTATCGCTTTAAAAAAAATTTCTAAATTATTGGAAGAATTACTTTCAATAAGAAGAAACGTAAGAACACATTTTCTTTAGATTTTAGAATTCACAATAACCATATAAAAACAATATATTTTTATTTATTTGTTTATTATATACAGTTGTCCAACAGAAAAGTAAACTATCTTATTTACAAATATTTTTAAAATAGACAGTTTGACCGGGCCCTTCTAAAAACCGAACCCTAGACATTTGTCTCATTTGTCTATGCAATGATCCGACCCTGCTCATATCATTTGAGCTTGGTTTAAGGGCTGTACTTGACTAATTGCTTCTGCACAAACAAACAATAAAGAAACATCTGTTACTCAGTCAAATCACAAATCAAAGCAGGAGCATGGCAGTTGTGAATAATGACTTTACTAGATAAAGATTTTGCAAATGTGTTATTTTAAAAAATAAATGATGAAGTCATATAACTGAATAAACTAACACTTCATATGTTTTCAGAACTTTTAAAGAGAAATCATTTGTAATTTTGTTCCAAAAAAATCTTTGGAAACACTACCATAAGAAAAAATAAAAAAAATAAAAGAAGATAAATTAGTAGTGTAATTAAAATAAATTATTTTATGCAAATAAAAAACTAATTAACAATTAAAAACTTGGCTTCAATCAATACTTTTTGATTTGAAAGCACTTATATTCTAATTACCTAGCTATGCCAATACTTACACTCACTACTGTATACATTTACTACAAATCAACAACAACAACTTTTATTTAAGTGTACAAAGGTACAATGCCCAGTTCTGTGTAGCATTGCTGGGCCTGAGATATAGTGTTCATGAATAAAATAATGATGATAACAGTTTGAAATGCATTTATACATCTATGAAGTTACCTTATTAAGCATAGCTGAGTGACATAATAAAGATAAGCACAGTGATTGAACACAGAGCAAATTACAATAACATATAAATTAAAAACCCGAGTACAATAAAACCATATTTAAAATTTACAGAATAATGCAAATGAAAAGCATGGTGATACAATACAGAGTAATTATTGATAATAAGAACATATAAATTTAAAGCCTTAACACAAAAAAAAAAACCATATACAGTAGAATCTCATTTTAATGAATCACTCAAGTTGCTGAAAATCATCCACTGTTCAGATAATCCAGTATATTGCAAATGATAGATAGAAACAGGAAAATATCTGTTATTCGAAAAAATTTCTGTGTTTAATCCCCTATATATAAGAAATGTCAGTACTTGAAATTATTCAATCCCTTGATATCTTTATTCTTTAGTCTATAGAAGCACAAATGTTACAAGATCACATAGCTCATTAGCACTTCACTTAACTTCATGATTTGTTAAAAAATTCGTCCATCTCAGTTTGTTTTGATGCCACTTTTCCGCCCATTAAATACAACAACCACTTGATATTAATGTGAAGTACAGTCTGTTCTTTTATGCTGAAACTCTTCACAACTTGGAAAGACTCAATGGCCTTGCTAAATTTCAGCACTACACTTGGACCAGAGTCAGAATGTTCCACTATGTGGTGTCTCCTCAATCATATCAGCCTACTGACTCTATACAATTTTTCAATTTTTCAGATATAACAAGTGCATCGTCAAATTCTACAAATTCCCAGAAACATCCAAATATTAACTAAAAGTATAAAAAATGCAAAGTTTACAATGGATGGGGCTAGAAAAATCCATTATACCAAGTTATGGATCTGCTAAAACAAGGTAAAATTACATTGATTTTGCAAGACCTGGAAAAAATCCATTATTCCGAGAAATCCATTGTTCCATAACCTGTTAAAGAAGATTCTACTGTATGATGGTTACAGTGTAATGCAAATGAAAAGCACAGTGATTAAATGTAGAGTAAAAAGAACATAAAAATAAAAGCCAAAATACTAAAAACAATAAAAAGATATATATACATTAGTTTGAAGAAACTGTTAAAGATAACATTCCATAACAAAGGTCCACAGGCAACCCTGTGAACAACACCTGGTGATGTCACAGACAAAAGACATTGTGCCATACTGCAATACAGCAATTTGTTGGAAAGGTAGCTTTAATCAAATAGTATAATTTGCCGCAGTAGCAGGAAAGCTATCCCTGTTGGGATCATCCTCCCCCATCCAGATGTGCCACCTATCAGCACAGAGATGTGCAAGTCAATAGGTGGCTTATTGAATATAGTTTGCAGGCTGCAAGTGCAGTAAGTCTTGGACATGTGAAGGAGCTCCCTCCTCTATACTGATAAAAGCTGCTGGTGAATGTGTATTGTTCTGCACAGAGTGGACCGTGAAGATGGGAATAAATATAAATGTCACAGATGATACCCATAGTACCAGAAGAGAACCCCTAATTTTTTTAACAATCCTGGAGAACTGAAAGATTAGCCCTGTGCATTTGATGATATTGTTAATTAATATGGGGAGCCCAGGAGTGTGCAACCAAAGTGTCATCTAAATACTGGAGTGTTTTGGTGATCTTGATGCTCTTGCCAGACATATACACAGTGGGATCCTGGCAAAAAGGTGGGAATCTTTAGGCTTATTAAAGATGATCCCATGCATCTTTGAAGGGTTAAAAGTTAACTTTTTGTCCTTGTCCCATTTGACAAATTTTTCCAAAGCCTATGTGCCTGGAGTTTCTACTAACAATGTGTAAAGCATCATCTGCAGGTAGTCAGGGGACCGACAACCAAGTCAAAATAAAATCCAAAATGGCGACCCGCTTCTACAAACAGGCAAAATAGCCACCTCACCCCACCGAAGTCAGGTGGGGGAGAGTACCACCCACAGTCATTCTAAAAAGTGAACTCTGACCTTAGGACTGAATACGTAGTTTCTTCTATGTTAAATAAAATTTGTAATCTAATTTTCTAAATTTGGGAGTGCTTCAAATATGACATTAAAACAGGGTGTTGTTACAAGTAGATTTTTAAACATTATCTAGTATAGTATGGGACTGATAAAAATTTGACGTTAAACTTGTTTGGGTTAAACTGTATATTGTTTGTGCAAAATAAAAAAATAATAATTTTGGACGATACAATAGCCACGATTATTTTTTTCAAAAACGAGAAATTTTCATTACACATTGACAAAAATTCAACCCGGGCCGACACACAATGGAGAGAAATTTCAAAATTGGATAGGTTAATTTCATTGAAAATACATTGTGGACAACCTTGTGGTTATGGCCAGCAAAATTTGAACGATTGCACCCAAAAGCAGGGATAGCAAAGAAGATTGGAGAATGAGAACAAGACCCACGTTGAGCGTCAAAGTGATTCCGCTTAGTAGCGAGTCTCTGAGACAGTCTTATTCCAAATACAGTTTTGCCATTTTACTTGTTTAAATATATTATTAATTTAATTAATATACTAAATTCATAATTTAATATAAGGTACAAGTCATTAATCTGCAGATCTTGTAGACTCACTAATATTAACTGAATCCATACTCAGCAGAAAGAATAATTACTAAAATCATCACCAAACATCTTTGGCTGCTGAGAGACAATGCCAAATAGCCAAAGGTGTTTGGTGATAATTTTACTCACTAATCTCATTACATTTCATTCTCTTGATGTAAAAATTAATTTAAAAAATTTAAACAGAAATTTAAAACTTGAATTTAAAAGAAATAGATATACTGTATAATCACATCCTGTCATTTCTTTGAAATTTATCCCTTTCATAAAATATGCACTAAACAGAATATATCTTGTATCATTCTAGAGATTGGACATGTGCTGATAATTTCATTGCTTAGATAACTATTTTAAAAACATTGATCTTATTTAAAAAACATATCAAATAATATTTGAGAATTAAGCTAAAAGCTATAAAGGTTTATTAACCAAAGAGCATCTTGATAAAAGATGTTCATTGGTTAATAAAAAGATGTTTTAATTTATTGTTGAGAGTTTAAATACTTACACTGTGCATCAAAAGCAAACATATTAATCATCATAAATAATTACTAAGATGTAAATACATCAACTCAAAATTAAAAACAAATATATCATTAATTATTGGTATCTTTGTTATCTATTATTTTAGTATATTTATAAGCAATTTTCTTCTGTAAAGCTTGTTTATTGCCATTACAATTAAAGAGAATATACAAAAGGATACCATAATACATTTATCACCAGAATGAAGAATTCCTTGAATGAATCCTAAAATTTGTTGATCCATTATACTATATATTTAACATTTGGTTATTTCTGTAAAAAAAAAATTTTAATCAGTTTTTTTTTTTAATTTTAATAAAATAATTATAAATTTATCAATGAAAAGAATAATTATTCATAATGTTTTAGATTTGCTAATAATATATTGTTAAATGCTTAATATATTATTAAATTTGAAAATGCAATTTGCTTATATGAGAAAAAACAAGTCTGAAACCAATGTACAAAATATTACCAAATGTGTATTTTAAAAAAAATATCTTATATCTTTCAGTGTTAATAGTTCCTTTTCAAGAAAACAACGATTACTGCTAGTTTTCTTGAAAAGACCATTTTTTAAAATACATATCAGATAAGCTCAGAAATATATTAACATGTTCAGGGCATCAGTAGATAAACATTTAGGCAGCTGCTGGTTGTTACGAGTCACCCGTGACTCGTAGTCTATTTTAATACAGGGCAGCACGAGTCACCCATGCCTCATACTATTAAATTAATATATTTTATTGGACCTAATAAATTAATATTGATATATCAAGTATAATGTTTGTAGAATTATGTTATCAAAACATATGCACCACACCACTGAAAAACAAGCAATTATGTCTGTAGCCCTAAGTAGACATGTCCATACGAGTCACATGTGCCTTGTAACGCCATAAACGTGTTAAGTAATGCTAACAATGTTTTGAATTTTATTTTGATAGCTTGTTTTTCTTCAGGCAAAGTATTTTAAATAAGATAAAGAAGATTTATAAAGTCAATATTTGCAAGTTCAATTACCACCAGTAGTTAAGCAAAGAAAACAGAGTAATATTGTAATAACATGATAAAAGAAATTATACTGGTCAACACAACTTTTTTCTTATACTTTATTAGATATATTGTAAACTTTTTTATGTTGATTATTCAGCTAATTTCCAAATTTGGTCATCATATCATATTCTTAAGAAATTTTTCAATAATATTAACATATTCTTAATAGCACTTATACAAATAAGCTTTAAAAGGAATGTCTAGCATTAATATGTACAAACAACTGTTAGCTTCCTGTTGCAGGACATTGATTTTAGAAACCAAAAGTGCATCATAAATGAAAAATAGCAAGAAAAGCTTTTTAAAACCTTAATATAATTTGTATCTTTTTATTACCAATGAAATTAATAATAAGTTGGCTTTTATCATCTTATCCTAATGTGATAGAAATATTTTGGTTTTAGTATAATCATGAGAAAAACAGATAAAATAAAATTATGTAAAAAAAAGATCATGAAAGTTAAATTTTGTTGTCCAGTGTTGTTAGTGTAAAAACATAGGAGTAATCTTGAAATATAGAATTAAGAAAATAGATCATCTTATGTAATTGCTGCTCTTCTCAATTACCTTAACATGTTAGATGCAATTCCATGCTTAACAGAAAAGATTTCATTTATAAGTGTAGGTTTTTCATTATATAATTACAAAATCTAATATTAATCTCTAATTCTTGACTATTCATTTACTTATCTTAATTTGTAAATATAATCTTCTTAATCTCTTCCAGTAAGACTGTCAAAATTAGACTGTTCATTAAGCATTACAATACTAAACATGCTTAATTCAGAGAATTATATATAAACAAAATTTATTAAAAGTGATATTTATTTATTGTAGAATGTTTCATAAAATTAATTATAATCTTGATACACAGAAAAATAAAGTTAAATATTTTCAAGTATAAAACAAACTATTGGTTTAATTTTTATGCATTTCTGTATTAGAAATAAAATTTTTATAATTATCCATGCAGAGAATTGAATTACAACTCACATTGTGAACAATTTATGTAATTCTCCATAATGGTGAGCTGGAACCTACTAATAATAAATCACACCTTCCAGCAAAAAGTTTAATTAATAAATTTTCAGCTACATTAAGTGGCTTGTTTCAGGTCTTAACAGTCAGAAATTTGTATTTTCTTTAGAAGTTTGATTTCAGACTGTTAAAACCTGAAGCAGGCCACTTAATATAGCCAAAAAAGGGTATTTCATTAAATTTTATTAAACTGTTTGCTGGAAATAGTGTGGAAGGTATAACTTATTATACATAAATTTTGTGAATTTCAAGTTTGACCAAAACTAAACTTTATTTATACAAGAAAATTTAATAACTAATCTTTCTCAATTTCTAAACTTTTACAGTAGAATACATATTCTTACATGTATCAAAGAATTTAGAAAAAACAATGAACATTATTTGAAATTCAATTAACAAAGTTCCATTACTATCTACAATTATTAAACATTTAATGTCAGAAACAAATCTTATATTTAAATTAAATTTTAGAAACAAATCTAAAATAAAAAATTTGATTTTTCTTTAAATTACAAAATAATAAACTAACATTTAAAAATTATAATTTTATAATTGAATTTTATTATTATATTATTAAACATTTTCAAACCTGCTTGAATTTACTATAAATATTTGAGTTTATTCTAATATTTTCAAATCTAAATTGAATTATCATGTAACAAACAACCAGCTGCATTATGAAATTATGACGACATATGTGAATTATTTTTATAGATCAATTAAACTACTGAATGCATATGAAATTATAAAATAAAATTTTTGGCAACAAAAAGTCAAATGTTTAAAATATTATATTCATTACTATCAATGAAACAAATAATGTATGTTTAAAGTACAAAATTATAATTATTATAACACAAATATTTAAAATACTTAAAATAAGCATTAAAAAAGTCAGATAAACTAATAGTCAAGTGTTTATTATGTAATAAATTTTCTCTTAATTCATATCGGAAATATTAATTTTCCGTATCATATTTTATCATTTTTACATCTTACTAAAATAAAATTAGCATTACCAGTATTCTATGATTTCTGGCCCAGATTAATTTGATATACTGCATAAGAAAACAAATTAGTTATGGTACTTAAAATATTATTTCAGAAATTATATATATACGCGTGTGTGTGTGTACATGCATAAATTATTTAACATATACATTTCATTTTCATGATGTAAATTTATTCTTGTTTACTGTTTATATTCTCCAAACAATATATAAGAACTGAAAAAAAAATCAAAATTATTTATAACAAGACTAAACATTAAAAATTTCTAAGGTACAATTACAATAAATAATCCTATTTATATACCTTAATTAAAATATGTGCATATATAAAAACATATTAAAATTTGAAGAAAAAAGTTTATTTTTATCTGATATTAAATATTTTGAAGCATGCCTGTTATTAATATTCATATAGAGGAAAAAAATAATTATAATTAGCAATGCTTGAAAATGGTGATTTACCTATAAAAATACTTTTAAGTCAACAGGAATCTACTGTAACTTAAGGAATTATTATATCCGAAAGATAACTAATGAATTGGCTAACCAACTAAATCAATATTTTTTATTAGCAAAATTGAATAAAATCTTAAATTATTGACTTTAGTAAAATGTTAAAAATAATTGGCATAGAAAATATTAACCTGCATCAAATTAAACTGAACAAATTTCCTGAATTAATTAGTCTAGAAACAAATAATATCTGCCTCATCTAACATTTCCATTTTACAATCAAATCTATAAATTCCAGAAATTTTGTGTTTTTGTTTACTTTTCATATTAAAAAAATGCTGTTAATTCATTAAATACAAATTTTTGTCATAATCTTTTGCTTCCTTTCACAAAAAATTTATTTAGATATCAAAAAATCATTTTCAATTTTTATATAAAATTAATACAGGTATGTCATTATTTTATATCTTTTTTATAAAAAGAAATAACTTCTGAAGATTTACTTTCAAAAAAAACAAAACTATTTTAAATAATTAATAATAATAAGTATAAAATTTTAAAGTTTTGAGTGTTCAAATCAAACTATGGCAATTTTATTTATAACAACTTTTTTGGAACTTCTGTTTTAAAAATCTATCCATGTGTTTTCCTATCTCTCTGTGGTCTGTGGTCAAATTTATCAAATTTTCTTCCAGACTATAATGAACTTGATATGGAAATTCTTTTAAATTATTATAATCGTCCTTCCTACTTATATGATTTCATATTATTAAACTCTTATAATACTAAACCAAAAATGTAATATCTTCACTATATTTCTGTAAATTATTTCAGTTTATGAAAATGACATGTACAAAACAAATGTTAATTGCATTACATTGTGAGGATATCTTATTTACTCTGTTATGTTATTAAAAATCAAACCATAATTTAAAAAATAATTTTTGTTGCTATTTGTATTTTTATAAACCATAGTTGATTTTTAATAGTCAAATATCAATATATCTGACTATAGATTATTTTCTATGTAGAATAATCTAATTTTCTATGTTTCTATGCCAATTATTAATAAATTAAATTGTCATCTCATATTTAATAAAGATTAATAATCAGAAATTATTTTGAATTTTAATTAGCTAATTTGAAAATTATGGTAGAAAAGATGGATCTGGAGTGGAACTCAAATGTACAATACAACTTACTGTGTAGATGCAATACCAAGTACAGGTAACCCCCGTATAACACAAGAGTTATGTTCCAAAAAATTGCTGTGTTATGCGAATCCGTGTTATACGAAACAAAGAACTAGTACGAAAAGGGGGTTAGGTTCCAAAAATTAAAAAACATGCTGTTATATTTTCATAATTAAGATAAATATCTTTATTAAAATTTTCTTAAGCAATACATATTAATATAAATTAAACAATGTTTTCTTTGTCATCACTAAGCACTATTAACCAAGGGCATTTTCTTTTTGGCAAGATATCCTTATCCTCTGAGCATTTTTCTGTATTATCTTCAGATACATGCTTTACCTTTTGCAAAAAATATGTTATTTTAGATTGCTTGCTTTTAGTTAAAAGATCTTTATAAATTTCCTTATACAGTGCTAAGCACTTATGAAGAATAAAGCAAGTATGGAATAAGGAAAAACATCTGGCAACACAAAATCAGAAACGTTGAGATCTGACAACACTGAAACAAGTTTCAAGAAGGATTACATATATCGATAGAAGGCGGAAATGAAAATTTACATACTTAAGTACTAATAGTTCACAAAAATAATAATTGAACTATTAATACTTAAGTACGTAAAAATTTATTACATTTCATGTTGTACGAGGATTTTACCCAATTCTCGAACAGTGTTAGAGTGAATCCGTGCTATAGAAGTGCTGTGTTATATGGGGGTTACCTGTACACTACCTAAATGTTTTATTAATCTTTGTTTACAGATCTTAATATATACTTTAAGCTTTAACCAGCATAATGTACACATACATGCTCATCTTCTTATGCCACAGTAACATTTTAAGTCAAAATTGAGAACCATGGACATAGAATTTTTATCATTGTTTTCATTGATTTGTAAATAGATATTTAAATATGACTAGAAAAGAAATGTAAATTATAAAATGATTTTAAATATATTTANGATATGGAAATTCTTTTAAATTATTATAATCGTCCTTCCTACTTATATGATTTCATATTATTAAACTCTTATAATACTAAACCAAAAATGTAATATCTTCACTATATTTCTGTAAATTATTTCAGTTTATGAAAATGACATGTACAAAACAAATGTTAATTGCATTACATTGTGAGGATATCTTATTTACTCTGTTATGTTATTAAAAATCAAACCATAATTTAAAAAATAATTTTTGTTGCTATTTGTATTTTTATAAACCATAGTTGATTTTTAATAGTCAAATATCAATATATCTGACTATAGATTATTTTCTATGTAGAATAATCTAATTTTCTATGTTTCTATGCCAATTATTAATAAATTAAATTGTCATCTCATATTTAATAAAGATTAATAATCAGAAATTATTTTGAATTTTAATTAGCTAATTTGAAAATTATGGTAGAAAAGATGGATCTGGAGTGGAACTCAAATGTACAATACAACTTACTGTGTAGATGCAATACCAAGTACAGGTAACCCCCGTATAACACAAGAGTTATGTTCCAAAAAATTGCTGTGTTATGCGAATCCGTGTTATACGAAACAAAGAACTAGTACGAAAAGGGGGTTAGGTTCCAAAAATTAAAAAACATGCTGTTATATTTTCATAATTAAGATAAATATCTTTATTAAAATTTTCTTAAGCAATACATATTAATATAAATTAAACAATGTTTTCTTTGTCATCACTAAGCACTATTAACCAAGGGCATTTTCTTTTTGGCAAGATATCCTTATCCTCTGAGCATTTTTCTGTATTATCTTCAGATACATGCTTTACCTTTTGCAAAAAATATGTTATTTTAGATTGCTTGCTTTTAGTTAAAAGATCTTTATAAATTTCCTTATACGGTGCTAAGCACTTATGAAGAATAAAGCAAGTATGGAATAAGGAAAAACATCTGGCAACACAAAATCAGAAACGTTGAGATCTGACAACACTGAAACAAGTTTCAAGAAGGATTACATATATCGATAGAAGGCGGAAATGAAAATTTACATACTTAAGTACTAATAGTTCACAAAAATAATAATTGAACTATTAATACTTAAGTACGTAAAAATTTATTACATTTCATGTTGTACGAGGATTTTACCCAATTCTCGAACAGTGTTAGAGTGAATCCGTGCTATAGAAGTGCTGTGTTATATGGGGGTTACCTGTACACTACCTAAATGTTTTATTAATCTTTGTTTACAGATCTTAATATATACTTTAAGCTTTAACCAGCATAATGTACACATACATGCTCATCTTCTTATGCCACAGTAACATTTTAAGTCAAAATTGAGAACCATGGACATAGAATTTTTATCATTGTTTTCATTGATTTGTAAATAGATATTTAAATATGACTAGAAAAGAAATGTAAATTATAAAATGATTTTAAATATATTTAGAAATAAAAATTCAATTAACATATATAAAGAAAAAGTAACAATGAAGAATAAAAATATTTTTTCTTTGATATATTAAATAATAAATGAAGTAAATTCTAATAAAATATCAATAACTTTCATAGATAATATCTGAACTAAAGCAATAAGCATTTCTATAAAGATTTTCTTCATTTAGACTTAAATATTAGCTTTGAAAAAGAACTCTAATTTTATAATTTCATTTGTAATAATTCTGTTCTTTACATTTGCAGAATATAATATAATAAATATTTAATTATTTTTAATAGCAAACAACATTTAATATCTGTGGAGAATGCATGAGAATGTTAACATCTTGCTATAAATTACAATTATTCTAATATATACTCCAAATCTGTTAAAATCTTAAACTTATTTTAAAAATGATTTTGCAATTTAAATTAAGTAAATATTTAAAAATAGTTGTTCTGAACTTTTTAAAGACATATTAGTTGCAAAATGCAACAAATTAAAAGTACAAGTACATATATAATTTGCAGAATTTATATAAAATTGTTATTTATAAAATGTTAAATTCTGAAATGATTATGTTTGTATACTTCAGTAAAAAGTATAATATACTTTCTTTAAAAGTTAATAAATTATTCCAATAAAACAACTATTATATAACAAATGGCCAAAATTTTATACACAGATTTTTCTGTAGAATATTTAAAAATAGCAATTTTTAAATATTATTTGTGGTATTATAAGCAAAAATTATCTGAAATTTTCAAAAATCACTTGTCTATTATTTGATTTTTAAAATCAATTATTAAATAATTAAAATTTAAATTAATAAAAACAATATTGTCATACTTATAACCAATTAAATTTCTTTAATGCACAAAAGCATTTATATATACTGTACAGTATATACTGTACTGTATACATATATATATACACATACACAAATATAAAAGTTTTCCAATGCATGAACTTTTGTTTATTTCTCTAACTCTTTTACTGTAGGAATACATTTCTATCATTATGTAGTTTATTTATTTATATAATTAAGTATTAAAGTATTTATTTATACCATTTTGTGAAGTATATTTGCTAACAATATATAAAGTTTATATGCATTTAAAATTAGATATATCTGAGTGAAAATAGAAAACTTCTATTCTATTACTTATAGTTTTGGGGTAATAGTTTGGATTTTCTTAAATTATTTATAATTATGGGACTTAATTAATATAGGGAAAATGTATTGGCTAACTATATACAAAGTAATATTACAGATCATCGATTAATTCGGAATTATAATCGTTCGAGTATCTGTGACATTATTGCGTAAAGCAATTATGAAAATACGAGAATGTGAAAACAACTTAAGATATTAAGCATACCCGAATTTTCAGCATTCGAAAACGATCTCGAGCTGGAATCAATACTCATCAACTAAACATGAGCCGACGACCATTTGATTGATGACGTCAAAGTGAGGTAAAGTAATTCTCATTTCTATTGGTTCAATAAACTAAAGTTATAAGCATGCGCAATTATTTACATGTGTACGTTAGAAGCTTGTTTTATGGTTTTATTACTTGGTGTGATTTTTAAAAAATTCAATTATTTTCTTTTAAAATTAGAAAAATTCAATATTAAATACTTTTTTAAAAAATTAATTAATTAAAAAGATAATTAATATGATTTAATAAATATTTTATTCAATTTGTGTATACTAGTTAATAAGAATTTTTCTCTGTTTAATTAAAGCACAGTAAATAGATACTATATAAATTTATAAATATTATTTTATGATAAATAAATGTGTACATTTATCATAAAATAATATTTATACAGACTCATATACTTATATATTACACATATAGTTCTATTATTGAAGTGCAATTAATTATTTATTATAAAAAGTGCTCTATTATTTTTGTTTTTTTATATACAAACTTATTTTAAATGCAAATAATTCTATTATATATAAGTTTCCTGTATATGTAATTATCAATAACAGTTTTTATTTTTTAAAAAATATCTAGAAATTCATTTTATATTCATATATTTTACATTTGAAATTGTTTTTTTTAATTGAAAATGCCTATTATGCATCTAATAAATAAATAATAAAATAATTATCCATTTATTAAGTATTGTGGAGTGTTTTCTATAAAAATTTATAGCTTAATAGTCTGTTTAAAAGAGATAATACTCTTTGCATCTGAAAATTTAAAATTATCGCGTTGGATAATTTAAGAAATTATATGAATTATAAGAATCAAAATTTATATGATTTTCAGCAAAATACGTTTTATTTGAAATTTTTTTTTATTTAAACACATAATATCAAGAATTTTATAATAAGCGCAAAAGCAAAATTTCTTTAAAAAAAAAAAAATAGTAAATAATAACGTTGTTGAATATGAAATTAAATTCATATAACTAAACATTTAACTTTTTTAACATAAATTTTAATATATACAGTAAAAAGGCATTTTTTTTATTATAACGAATTGAAAGTTTCCAATACAGAAATAGCCTAAAGTATTGATATATTAATTAACTAGCAGACCCCGCCACGCCTTGTTGTGGCTCAAAATGTATCTATTATAAATGTGTTATAACACTTCCCTCGTGGGGGGGGAATTTTTCGAAAAATTTCTTCTTAGTGTACATTCTGTTGACGTACCCTAATAAAACGCATTCAAAAACGCAAAAACTCGCATCTAAAATAGTATAATAGAAGCCAAGTTCTTCACAGTAAGCCTTAATCCTGTCCCTCTCCCCCGCGGGGGAAATATCGAAAAATCCCTTCTTAGTGTACATTCTGTTGACGTACTCTATTAAAACGCAATCAAAAACGCAAAAAACCGCATCTAAAATAGTATAATAGAAGTGAAGTTCTTCACAGTAAGCCTTAATCCTGTCCCTCTCTCCCGCGGGGGGAATATCGAAAAATCTCTTCTTAGTGTACATTTTGTTGACGTACCCTATTAAAATGCAATCAAAAATGCAAAAAACCGCATCTAAAATAGTATAAATAGAAGCAGAGTTCTTTACGGTAAGCCTTCCCCGTAAGGCTTACCGTAAAGAACTGTCCATTTCCCATGTTTAACGGAATAATATACAGCATATGTCCACCCTGAAGTTCCATTCTAAATATTGGTGAAAAAATTTTTGAAATCGGATGAGTAGTTTTGGAGATTACCTGCTGCATCCAAACTTACATACATACAAACATTACCTCTTTATAATATCAGTATAGATAAAATAAAGTTAGGAACATAAATATGTTTTCTTATTTTTACTGTAGTACATAATGTTTATTAGTTTATTAATATGTGTTGTAAAATTACTAACTTCATAATATAAAGGAATAATACCTTATAATACGAAAAAAGTAAAATTTTCTTTAACAGCAGCAATAAGATATCGTAACACAACGATGGATGCCAAGTTAATAGCCTACTCTTTCCTGTATGTTTACATTTTCTAGATATCTGTAAATCTAAAATAGATAACGTTAAATGCAAAGTCTGTTCCTTTGTATAAAGAAAACTGAGTATGAAATTTTTTCATAGAAATAAAGTTTTTATTGTATTTTGTTACATTAAACGATTATTTGTTCGAGATAAATAGTGTTCTGGGAATAATCCAGAAACCTATTTAAATTATAATAATAACATGTACAGTGCTGGAATTAATAAATATAAATTTGACAATGTATTTGTAAAATATTCAAATTTTATATGTGTATATAGTTTAAATTAATTTTGAATCATCGCACCTTTTAGTACACTATAAACATACATTATAAATTACATTATAGATATTAAGGCATTTATTATAAATATAAAAATTATTAAAATGTCATTAAACATTTTATTTCAGTTTAAATTAATTCAAGTACTGTACATCTACAGTAGCATCAAGGACAATTCGAGGAAAAATATTGGTTTGGATAATTTTCCATAAACTGATCATCGTGCTACAATAATAAATAACTTTTCTGCACGATACTAAATTAAAATATAATGAATTATTCATAAAATATCGAAAATATTAAAACAATTTATATTTAATTATATTCACATCCAATGAATATTTAGATTTAAAAGTCGTTTGTTATGAATTTGTACTAATTTGATGGTATAATTCCTGAAAATTAAGCTGGAATGGTTCTAGCATTATGGTTTCTGCCTATTCAACTAGTTCAGCGCACTCGAATCTTTGTGGGAATCGAATTTTTTTCGTTGTCTACTACAACTGGCTTTGAGATTATCAAACGAGAATAGGACGGTCTCAGTATAAGCAATCTGGAGTAGTATTAACCACATTTCTCTTGTATCGATAACTGAGAATCGATTGGATCTGTTTTTCTGCAACTAAATTCCTCGTGGTATATGCAAAAGATTGATTTTTATAATCAGAAACCGCTTCTCTTAGTTTATATTTATCTATGGTTTTTGATGAATTGATATATTTTACAAAAATGAGTACAGTACATGATACCATAATATAAAATAAATTCATAAAAGTTGTTTTTAAACATTGAACTCAATGATTTTTTTATGAAAGCCTTATTCTAAATTATTCAATAAACTGTACGTTCATTGATTTTGCATATTTGTAAGAATAGAAATGGTATGCAAATATTATACCGTAATTATATTTTCGAAACTTCTTAGAATTTAGTTACTGTAGAGAAAAATAGCAAGCAGCTATTCAAAAGAATGTCAAATTAATTATTAATGCTTGCTAAATCTGTTGTGATCTCATGCGCCAAATATTGTACTTAATTAAAGAAAGAAATTATCTTAGGCCTACTGAGAAAGGAAGATAAGGAAATTATTTTTTGATATTCAATAGAAAATATGAATCTTCATTTACAATGTACACATTTCCTGTTTGGAATATATTGAATTTAACTTTTTTGGAAACAATTCATTGTGTATTCATTGGATTTTGACAATTCACTTCCAGGATGCACTTTTGATTGAATTAAACATAAATGAAATATTTTAAAATATTTTAAAAATTTGATTTTTTAAAAAAAGCATATTTTCTGAAGATAAGAGTTTTTAATTTAATAAATTTTTACTCAGTTAAAAATTAATAAGTTTAAAAATTCACGGATTAGAGTCAGACATTTGAAAAAATTTTTGAAATCGGATGAGTAGTTTTGGAGATTACCTGCTGCATCCAAACTTACATACATACAAACATTACCTCTTTATAATATCAGTATAGATAAAATAAAGTTAGGAACATAAATATGTTTTCTTATTTTTACTGTAGTACATAATGTTTATTAGTTTATTAATATGTGTTGTAAAATTACTAACTTCATAATATAAAGGAATAATACCTTATAATACGAAAAAAGTAAAATTTTCTTTAACAGCAGCAATAAGATATCGTAACACAACGATGGATGCCAAGTTAATAGCCTACTCTTTCCTGTATGTTTACATTTTCTAGATATCTGTAAATCTAAAATAGATAACGTTAAATGCAAAGTCTGTTCCTTTGTATAAAGAAAACTGAGTATGAAATTTTTTCATAGAAATAAAGTTTTTATTGTATTTTGTTACATTAAACGATTATTTGTTCGAGATAAATAGTGTTCTGGGAATAATCCAGAAACCTATTTAAATTATAATAATAACATGTACAGTGCTGGAATTAATAAATATAAATTTGACAATGTATTTGTAAAATATTCAAATTTTATATGTGTATATAGTTTAAATTAATTTTGAATCATCGCACCTTTTAGTACACTATAAACATACATTATAAATTACATTATAGATATTAAGGCATTTATTATAAATATAAAAATTATTAAAATGTCATTAAACATTTTATTTCAGTTTAAATTAATTCAAGTACTGTACATCTACAGTAGCATCAAGGACAATTCGAGGAAAAATATTGGTTTGGATAATTTTCCATAAACTGATCATCGTGCTACAATAATAAATAACTTTTCTGCACGATACTAAATTAAAATATAATGAATTATTCATAAAATATCGAAAATATTAAAACAATTTATATTTAATTATATTCACATCCAATGAATATTTAGATTTAAAAGTCGTTTGTTATGAATTTGTACTAATTTGATGGTATAATTCCTGAAAATTAAGCTGGAATGGTTCTAGCATTATGGTTTCTGCCTATTCAACTAGTTCAGCGCACTCGAATCTTTGTGGGAATCGAATTTTTTTCGTTGTCTACTACAACTGGCTTTGAGATTATCAAACGAGAATAGGACGGTCTCAGTATAAGCAATCTGGAGTAGTATTAACCACATTTCTCTTGTATCGATAACTGAGAATCGATTGGATCTGTTTTTCTGCAACTAAATTCCTCGTGGTATATGCAAAAGATTGATTTTTATAATCAGAAACCGCTTCTCTTAGTTTATATTTATCTATGGTTTTTGATGAATTGATATATTTTACAAAAATGA